TTTATGTTTCCAATGAGTTGACCTTTAGTCTGACACCATATGGAGTAACAGCATTCAGTCCCAGGCCCCCACTCTTCAGGAGGGAGGTACCAGGCTTGGAGAGTGAGCAGATTGAAAGGACTGACCCAGGGCTGAGAGGGGTAAATAATGAGGACAGTTAGTACACTCCTAGGTTGTATTCCCTGGAGTGTAAGGGGATGATCTAATCGAGGATGATGAAAATAATTGATAGGATCGACTCAGAGAATCTATTTGTGGGGTGAGGCTGGGGTGGGTGTGTACAAAACAGTGAAAAAACTTTGAAATTTGAGCCGTGACATTCAGGAGTGATGGCTGAGTTTACGTTAGCATTGTCAAAATAGCAACTGAGCAAAGTGATATTCAAGCTAGGTAAAAGTATGAATGGATAAAAGTGGGTTTACGAGCCAGCTGTGCTCTGACTACCAGGGCAGGGTCAGGGGCTGAAAGCCCTACTGCTACTTCTGGGTGAAAACACATAGGTACCTGCACGCGCACACCACACTCATGCACACACCAACACTTGAGCACACATTTGACAGGTGCACATACAAATACACACACACTGACACAGTGGCACATCCGCACACTCAATCACATGTGTAAACACCAATCAACTTATCACAAGCAATGAGCTGTCAGGAGGGAGACAGTATGCTGTGAACTCATGCAGCATCCACAAAGGCAGGTGGAGATGTGCAGACAACACAGAACCGATGGACTGAAGGGCTTCTTCTGTTCTGCATGACTCCATGACTCTAGGGAATGAGAATGTCTGAGATCTCAGAAAGGATGAGTCATAGTTTAATATCAGAGTAATCCACATTATTGATAGAAGCAAGGGCAATGTTTATCACAATCAATTCTTCATGAACATAATGCAGAGATATTTAATGGCAGACTCAAAGCTGGTGAAGAGGTCACCACCTTTGTCTGTTTCTGTAGTGACAGGGAGCCAGGATTTGAAAAAGTGACAGCCAATACCCTATAACTCACAGAGATTGTTGTTCACATGACCACATTAAAAACTGACTCGCAAGGAATCCTGTAAATATGCACACACCCACCCAGGAACATTGTGTAGATCTTGACACACTCCCAACCCTGGGAACCCCATGTAAATACTGACACATTCCTCAGGGACAACCTGTAAATACTGACACATTGTGCAGCTGGGAGATTCCCTGGAAATACTGACACATTCCCCCACTCCCCAGACAGCCTCTGTAAATACTGACACACTCCACCCAGAGACTCCTATAAATACTGACACGTCCCCCACAGGTTCCCCTGTAAATATTGATACATTCCTTCTGGGGACCCTGTATATACTGTTACACTCTCCCCAGGGACCCTCTATAAATACTGATACACTCTCCCCAGGGACCCTCTGTAAATACTGATACACTCGCCCCACAGGGCTGCCTGCACATACTGACACACTCCCCCGGGACACCCTCTAATTGCTGACATACTACGCCCCACTGACCCAGGGGGCCCCTGTAAATGCTGACGTACATCGCCTGGAGATGCCCTGTAAAAACTGACACACTTTCCACCTCGGCAAAGGCCTGTAAATGCTGACACACTCCTCCCAGGGACCCTCTGTAAATACTGACACACTCCGCCCATCAGGATCCCCCTGAAAATACTGATACACTTTTTCCCAAGGGCACGCCCTGCAAATACTGACACACTCCCTCCCTCAGGGACCCTTATAACCCTGGTCCCCCTGTAAATGCTCACACTGACACACTCTTCCCCAAGGGCACCCCCTGTAAATACTGAAACACTACCCCCCCACAACACCCCATCACCCTCGGGAACTCCTGTCAACACTGACACACACCCCCTGGGGCCCCTGTAAGCACTGACACTGTCTTCCCAGGGAACCTCCTGTAAACACTGACACACACCCCCTGGGGCCCCTGTAAATGCTACACTCTCTCCCCAGGGAACCCCCTGTAAATACTACACTGTTCGCTCTCAGTGATCCCGTGCAAATACTGACGCACCCCCACCTTGGGCATCTCCCGTAAACACTGGTGACTATCCCCGGGGACCCCTGTAAGGTTGGGCTACTTGACTGATAAGGCCTGGGAGACAAGAATCAGGGGGTCATAGTCTAAGGACACAGGGTTGCCCATTCAGGACATGGGCCTTGGTGAGACCACACCTGGAATACCGTGTGCAGTTTTGGTCTCCTGATCTGAGGACCATTATGCGGGAGTGCAACAAAGGTTTACCAGTCTGATTCTGGGATGCATAAAGAGAAATTGGATTGGTTAGGATTATAGTCACTGGAGTTTAGAAGAATAAGGGAGGTCTCACAGAAATAGACTGGATAAACGCAGAAAGGGTATTCCCGATAACCAGGGAGGCCAGAGCTAGGGGTCACTGTCTAAGGGTATGGCATAGGCTATTTAGAGTTACAAAGAGAATCATAGAGCCATACAGCACAGAACAGGCACTTTATCCTTCATCAACCTGTTACGCTAATTCCACCGAGACTGGGACTGAGATGAGGAAAAATGTCTTCACCCAGATATTAGAGAACCTGTGGAATTGTCTGCCAGAGGAAGCGTTGAGGCCAAAAACAATGAATAGTTTCAACAAGTAGTAGATATAGTTCTTATGGCTAAAGGGATCAAAAGGTATGGGGAGCAAATGGGAACAGGGTACTGAGGTGAATGATCAACCATGATCATGTTGAACAACAAGGCAGTCTGATGGGGCCAAACCACCCACTCCTGCTCCTATTTCCTTTGTTCCTTTGTTTCCCTAATTTCTACTCTATCCTTTGAAATACAGAAAGCATTGCCTGGTTCGTTGTCCAGCCCTCTGTTTCTCAGTTCCGAGACAGGAAGAATAGTCAAGCAGTATTTTAGCAGAGGGATTTTATTTTTCATTTTATTCAAGTAATTTGAAATTTCTGTGGTGATTTGCTGCTGACTACATTTTATGTGGGTCACAGACACCAGCATGTTGGCCCAAAGCAGCTGGTTTCTAATTTTGGCTTGTTTTTATTTTTGTTGGCTTTTAGTTTGGATCAGTTGCAATCACAGGCTGCCCAGACCGTCTCTTACATGTATCACCAAAAGTGCAAGAACTTTTTGGTGCGTGTGGTGGGGTTGTCTTTCTTGCTTTTTTTTTTGTTCTCTCCGATTCTTTTGTCCCCCTCCCGCACCCTTTTCCCCACCTTGCTCAAGACAAAAAAAATCTTCCGTTTCTCACAAGCCAAAGGGAGAAACGGCATTGAATGAGCAGCCAACTCATCGTCTGACAGCTCGTGACATTTTTTTTTGTGAATTAAGAAAGCCGTCTGATAGAATTAAGTGAAAAAAAGATCAGTTGTTCCCTCGGAATATCTCGCGTGGTCCAATGTGTATGACTTGTTATCTTAAAGGGTTACTCAACCTTAGTTATAATCATGGCTGAGGTTAAAGATCACTTGTTACTATGGCCAGCTCACCCTCCCACCACCTCTGCCCCCAGCCAGATGTGAATCTGTGTGGTTTTGTCGGACTCTAGGTCTCTTAGGTGAGGATCCATTAAGTGAGGGAGCACCATTAACTGCTCCACTATTCACTTCAGGAGTGGAGCGAGTGGATTGTCTGGCTTGGCTTAGTTTTCTGCCAAACATAACACCTATACCAAGTGGAGCCAGTGCTCCCCTCACACCTCCAGACCCCCACTTGGATAGGGCAGATTGTCATCTCCCCTGGATTTGGCACCAATGGTATTTTGCCTCCATGGAGGGCACGCAGTGCCATTGCGCCACCTGGTGTATCATCGCCTTCCCTTTTAGGGTACTAGCCCCTGAGAAAAGCATTTGAGAATATGGGGGGTGGGCAATAATATCAGACGGTCAAGGGAGAGATGGGAGGCAGGGGCATATGTGAAGGGGAAAGTATCCTAACTACTGACGCTAGAATGATGACACCACAACAGGATGACCCTGTTGACAGGGTGATGACATCAAACAATGACACAACACCTGTTGCTATGGCAATGACATCGCAACAGGACAGCCCCCTGCTGCTAGGACAATGGCACAACAACAGGAAAACCCCTGTTGATAGGCTGATGACATCACAATTAGACAACCTCTGTTGCCAGGCCAATGACATCACAGCAGGACAACCCCTGTTGCTATAGTGATGATATACAACAGGAAAACTTCTGTTGATAGGGTGACATCACAATTCCTCTACCCCACTCATGACATGATGAAGCCTCCATCGTTGAAGTTGCTCCGGAGGATCAAAGGCACCCAAATTCCAATGAACTTTCTGTTGCATTCTCTGAGGCCAGGAAATAGTTACTGAAGCTTCCAGGGAGGAAGTGCCATTATACCAGGTCCTCAAAGAAAGATCACTGAATTGGGAAGTTTGGATTTTTCATAAACCCAATCACTCAAAATCAAATGACCCAATCTGTCAATGGGAGCTCTGCACAGGCAGGACAAAGTCATTCTAGGAGCAAAAGAAAAGCGAATGACAATGCCCAGGCCACAAGATGTCCATGTTTGGCCCTGACACGAGGCCTCACAAATCTTGACAAGTACTGACTGAGGTGGCCAGACCAATTTCCCATTGATGGACCTGGGAAGGGCAAGTAGATGCACTGGACAGCCCTGTTGTTGAGGGGGAAGCTTTCTAAAACAGATCCTAATAGGCCAAGTCAGTCAGACCGAATAGCATGTTTGTGTTTGTGTAAAGGTTGTAGACATGGGGAGCAAATAGGAATAGACTCCGTGCCCGTTTGGGCCGGGGCAGCGGTGGGGAGGAAGCGGGTGGGAGCAGGCAAGTGCAGGAATGCACTGTGGAGACCAATAGGGAGTTGACCATCTCAGCAAATGACCTTTGACCTCATCCTCCATTTTGTCTTTTTTTAAACCAGGGTTCAGTTTTTCCCTTTGGAAGTTACAACAGCAGCATGCAGACACCAAAATTGTCAAATGGTTTGTGCCGGCTGAATACCTTTTGTTGAATTGCTCCAACGGTTACCTTCAGAATGGTGAGAGAGAATCAGGAGGTTAACGCAGGAAGCACCAGCACCCGATCCAAATACAGTGATTCTCATGGGGTCACCGCCAAAAAAGCCAATGTTCTCGCTGAGCCACCGTAAGGCCTGAATCTGATCGAGCAGGCCGTAATTACCCTTGGCGGCCATGTCTCCTGTGCTCAGGAACCCTGAAAGAAAGAAAGGATAACCGTTTAAGACATAGACAAGGCAAAACACAATGTTTTGTTTTATATACACGCAGACTCGGGATAGTAGATAAAGTGGTTAAGAAGGCATAATAGGAAACTTGCTTTTATTAGCTGAAGTTTGGAATTTAAGGGCAGGGAGGTTATGCTAGAACTGTACAAAATGTTGGTTAATTCTGGAATCCACATTATAGGAGGGATGTGATAGCCGTCGAGAGCGGGGAAAGAAGATTTGCTATGATGTTGCCAATGTTGGAGAGTTACTTGTTTTCCGGTGTTGAGTCAGATTAAGATGCAGGCTCCACTCCTGGTGGTGCCCTTCCATCAATTCCTTTAAGTTTCAGCTTTGCAACCATACCCCTCCTGGAACCCAAAGCTTGTTCATGGGGAATAATTGCAATTCCCAATCTCTATCACAAATGGAGTTCAATAGGTTAGCCACACTTAGCAGTCTAGGATAGATACATGCTCATCCAGATAATGTAGTGCTCTTGCAACCCCAGATATCTAAGGGTATCACAGACCCGTTATTGCTCAATCTCATGTGACTGTAGTTTTGAAGACAGATAGGGTTAGGAGTTGTTTTCCTAAAGCAGAGGAGATTGAGAAGGAGGACATGATTGAGATGTATAAAATTATAAGGGGCATAGAGAGGAAGAAATGTCTCTCCTTGGTGGAAGATTCAATGACCAGAGGGCATAGATTTAAGGTAAGGGGCAGGTGGTTTAGAGCAGATTTGAAGGAAACCTTTTCACCCAGAGGGTGGTGGGAATCTGGAACTCACTGTCTGTAAGGGTGGTTGAGGCAGAAATCCTCATCATGTTTAAGAAGTATTTAGATGTGCCCTTGTGATGCCAAGGCATACAAAACATTGGGCCGAGTGCTGGGAAAAGGCATTGTCTTTGACCATCACAGACTCGGTGGGTAGAAGGGACTTTTTCTGTGCTGTAGACCTCTATCATTCTACGACCTCATTGAATGCTGTGACAGATTCAAAGGGCCGATTGGCCCACTCTAGCTCCTATTTAGAATTGTAGAATCAGACAGAGTCAGAAAAAGGCCGTTGAGTCTGCACCAGGATTCTAGGAAGGGGATAAACCAATCACAGTTAACTAGTGAAGTTAAGAGTAGCATCAATATGAAACAGAAATACATAAAATGTGGCAAAGATTAGTTGTAAACCAGAGGATTGGGAAAGCTTTAAAAAACAATGAAAGATGGCCCAAAAAATGATAAAAGAAGGAGAATAAACTTTGAGGGTAAACTTGCAAGTATCTTCAAGACAGACGGCAAAATCTTCTTTAAATACTGAAAAAGGAAGTGAGAGGCCAAAGTGAACTCAGACCTCTCAGAGAATGAGGCTGGGAAAATAATAATGGTAAACCAGAACATGGCAGAGGACTTGAATAAAGACACTGCATCAGTCTTCACAGTAGAAGACACTAATAGCATTCCAAAATTACTAGATATTCAAGGGGCTTGAGCATAGGAAATGAACACAATAATTATCACTAGAGTCAAAGTGCTAGGGAAACAAAGTGGGGCTGAAGACTGACAAGTCCCCAGACCTGATGGGATGCTTCTTAGGATACTGCTTCTTAGGAGATAGTTGTAGAGATAGTGGTAGGAATCCATGGTAGGAATCTTCCGGGAATCCTTAGAATCTGGAAAAGTCCCAGAGGATTGGAGAACTGCCATTGTAACACCTTGATTGGAAAAGCTCTTGTATCTTATGGTCATACAAATTAGTTTGGGATTATCCCAGCAGAGGGCCATAACGATGACTGAAGTGGCCTCCTTCTGTGCAATAAGCAGTTCATGATTGACAGGAAGGTTTAACACCATCTCCTCTGGCACAATAAATCTCTCGGGTTGAGACAGACTGGAAAACAACTTTACCACAAAAAAGAAATTGACATCTATTCCAATATTCCAGTTTTGGGATGTCTGACTGACAGCTGCAGGGAGAAAATGTTGACCTCAGCAACTCCAAGGAATTGGAGCGATGCTTGCTACTGCTGTCTCAGTGTTGCATTCACAGCACAGGTCCTGACCAGCTGGAGAGGCCTGTTTCACAAGCACACACTGTCTGACTGAGAACATGAGCTCAGGACGAAGGCCCATGCTCCCAGAGTGGGTACTGAAGGAGCGCCACATTGTCAGAGGCTCTATACTGAGGGAGCACTGCACTGTCAGAGGGTCAATATTGACGGAGTACCGCACTGTCAGAGGGTCAATGTTGAGGGTGTACTGCACTGTCAGAGGGTCAATGCCAAGGGAATGCCACACTGTTGGAGGGTCAGTACTGAGGGAACAGGCACTGTCAGAGGATTATTTTATTCAGAGTATTTTATTCTGCAACCAGAGGTGACAAGCAACTCAATTTTCAAGGCACTGGGGATTTAATCCGCGCCAATAAAATTGGAGGAATGCTAAAACTATCTCCCTTCTTCACTGATAGTAGGAACTGCAGATGCTGGAGAATCCGAGACAACAAGGTGCA